AAAACAGTCTGCAGGTTCCTTAAAACACTAAAAATAGAACTACCCTACGACCCAGCAATTGCACTACTAGGCATTTGTCCAAGGGCTACAGGTGTGCTATTTCAAAGGGACACATGCACCCCCATTTTTATAGCAGCACTAGCAACAATAGCCAAAGTATGTAAGGATCCCAAATGTCCAACGATGGATGAATGGGTAAAGAAGATGTGGTATATATATACAACAGACTATTACTCGGCAATCAAAACAAATGAAATCTTGCCATTTGCAACTACGTGGATGGAACTGGAGGGTATTATGCTAAGTGAAATTAGTCAGAGAAAGACAAAAATCATATGACTTCACTCATATGAGGACTTTAAGAGACAAAACAGATGAACATAAGGGAAGGGAAGCAAAAATAATATAAAAACAGGAGGGGGACAAAACAGAAGAGACTCACAAATACGGAGAACAAACTGAGGGTTACTAGAGGGGTTGTGGGAGGGGGGATGGGCTAAATGGGAAAGGGGCACTAAGGAATCTACTCCTGAAATCATTGCTTCACTATATACTAACTAATCTAGATGTAAACTTTAAAAAGTAAAAAAATAAAGTTAAATTACAAAAAAAATAAGTAAGAAAATAAAAAAAATAAAATAAAAAGAAAGTGCTTTAGTATTTGTTTTGAGCAATTTTTCCAAAATATTTTACACCTGGGTTTCCTTTAAAAAAAAATAATAGTTTCAGACTGAATTAAATGGTTATTAATTCAAAGTCTGGTATAAGCACACCTAATTTCATTGTTATCTGGTGGATGGATGAGAGCCATAACTTAAAAGTGGGAAAGAACTAAAATAAATAGTAAGGAGGTAATGCAATTAGTAGAAAATTGCGGAAGGTGCTAAAAGTGGTAGACAAGTGGCACCTGAAAACTCCAGGATATGATATTTAGTTAACTACCAGAACAAGCAAAACTAGAGGCCAGGTCACCGAGGAGAGAAGGAGCCCAAATGCGCATGAAAAAGGAAGAGAAGCACGCTCCTGGAATCAGGTACTGATCAGAAACACTCAAAGAGCAATGTTATGCCCTTTAACTGTGTGCCTTTCATCTAAACGAAAGCTCCAAATAAATAAGTATAAGCTAATATGTGCTCCAAATGTCTATGAGCTAGTTCCAAACTTGATCAGACCAAAAAAAAAAAAAAAAAAAAAAAAAAAAAAAAAAAAAAAAAAAAAAAAAAAAAAAAAAAAAAAAAAAAAAAAAAGAGCTAAATCTGGAAGGTGTGAAATGTAAAAAAGACCAAAAATTAATCTGAGTGTTCTCTATGAAAGGTCTTCCGGTCAAGGTACAGAACAGGCCGACTTTGCTATGTGGTGGGTATATACGTATACACAGATCAAGCAAGTTAGAGCTTTGTGGCTTCAGTACCTCCAGGGAACTGAAACAGCAGGAAAATAGGTAAAGCAAAATGAAGTGGCACCCATCTTTTAGGAATAGGGTATAGCTAAGTCTTAGGATCAAAAATCCAAACTTCAGGGGTGTCTCGGGGGCTCAGTCTTGGTTAAGTGTCCAACTCTCAATTTCGGCTCAGGTGATGATCTTGCAGTTTGTGAGTTTGGGCCCCACATTGGGCTCCAAAATGACAGTGCAGAGCCTGCTTGGGTTCTCTCTCTGCCCCTCCCCTGCTTGTGCGCTCGAGTGCTCGCTCTCTCTCTCTCTCTCTCTCTCTCAAAATAAATAAACAAACTTTTTAAAAAATCCAAACTTCAGAAGATTAACAATTTCAAAGCTGTCTAAATTCTCAAAATATATTGTTTTTCATGGTAATTAGCAAAGCTGCCTTTAATAAATCAGGCTTAATCACTTGTGTGAGGCAGACAGAGGCCATGCATTTGGTCCACAGGTAGAGAGTGGTTTTAAAAGGAGCCTGTAATGGTGACAGCAGCAGGAATCAAACAACCACCTTAAATTAAGGGAAGGGTGATAGGTACTAAGGAAGGACTTGTGATGAGCACTGGGTGTTGTATAAGTGAGGAATCACTGAACTCTACTCCTAAAACCAATATTGCACTGTGTGTTAACTAACTAAAATTTAAAGGTGGGGGGGAGGGGAGAGGGAGAGAGAGAAGGGCATGGTAAGAAGTCAAGACAGCCAAATCAGAGGCTCAAAGTACACCTCTCTTTACACATGTGTACAAATCTTACCCTCTGTCAAACGTTTATTTTTGTTTTGTTTTTTTTCAAAAGACTTTCCTAACAATCCTCTTTTACATAGAAAGGTAGAATCAAAGTACTCCTAAGAAATACTAAGTAAAATCACCTCAATTTAAACTCTAAAGAGTAATTTAAAAGGATACGGATACAGTTGGGGTCTAAAAAGGAAGCTTCCATAATATGTAGTTTAAATAACTTTTAAAGACTCACCTGTAGGCTTAACTGAATAAAACCCAATGGCCTCTCCTTTCTTCCACAGAATCTTAGCATAATCAGTACTGCTATGGCACAGGAATGGTATCTCATTTCTCTCCATTTCCTGTTTTCTATAAATAATTCGATTCAGAACATACAGTACCACTCTCTCCCCAAGAGTTCTCACCTGGAAAGAGAGTCAGACACAGGCACAACAGTTATGATATGCATTCAGAGATGCTATCCACCTTGCTCCCTGCTTCCACACCTCATACTGGCATGCACAAAGCACTTTAAATACACTAATAATGATTTCTTAAACTTATCATCACAGTAAAAGTGATGATAAGAGTAACCATTCATGCCAACAACAATCCATTTCTATAGACACATAGGCATGGACATAGTGCCTCTCAGCAAAATTCTAAAACAGGAAAAACTAATTTCCAATGTACCAATGATCTAGCCATCTCTTCCTTAGCGCTCAACTGTTTTGTTTCTGCTACCAGCTGCCCAGACCCAGGCTACCTCTACTGCTTCAGTTCTTTTCACCCCATTCCAGTCTCAATATTAAATAAAAAAGAAAAAAAGAAAAAGAAAAAAGAAAAAAAGAAAGCTTCCTGTTATCCTCTAGATCTTTAAGAACCCCATTACCTTACTTGATGAGGAAATCCATAATTATGTTCCTAGGAAAGGAATCTCTCTCATTTTTTCCAGGTAAAATGTTCATTTAACAGTCATGTCTATAGTTAGACAACTATAAGAAACACCCACCTCACCCCACATACATACCCACAGACCCTTCTGCCAGATCAGATGAGTGATGACAGTGGTACCAGGCAAGTCTGATAAAAAACAAACTTGGGGCAGTCACAGAATGGAAACAGAGCCTCACTTCCTACATGCAGGGTTACCTGGTCACAGGGACCACTCACCAACTTTCTGACATCAAACAATGGGGTTTTCCTCCCACAGACATCTTTCACCACTAAAAACAAGAGTATATACTACCCATAAAGTATTTCTCCTCAAGTCTCCTTGAAGAAAAACAAGAGTGCCCTATAATTAGGTGAGTGAAGAAAAAAAGCATTAATGCATATACCAACACTCCTCTCAAAACTAAACAAAAACCCTTAACTATACTACATAGTAGGAGAGGTCAGATACCAAACAACACACGAAATGACAAAGCTCACTTGCTTTCCAGGCAACCCATTCCTTCCTTGAACAGCTCTGACCAGTATATAATTCTTCTTTATACTGAGTTGACTATAGCCAAAGACTGTACTTTGATACTCTGGAGCCATACAGTCTAAAAATAATTGAAGAGAGCCATGACATTCCCCTAAATTCCTACCACAGGAACATAGGAACGAATGAAAGAAAGGACTGATCTAATGCAATTTTGGGTACTTTTGCCATTCCAGTTCTCACTCTTGAAATGCTCCAGATCCTTATCATCTCTCTTCCCACTGGGGCTTGAAGATACTACAGACATAAACACTGAAGATACTGTTATAACAATCGGGCTTTGCTATATAAACTTCAGTTCTTGTATTAGCTTTTTTGTTTACCTTCATTTTACTTCTAATTAACTAAAGCCCAATCGTTTTCATATGCGTTGTTTTAGCTTATTCTTCACGGTGTACATGTGCAGTTATTTTTTTGAACCTATGGGTAATTACTTTTCATCATGTTAGATCCTCTTTGTTTCTTAATTCTGCCTTTCAGAGCCTGGTTCTCCCATTCAGCACTGTGGCATGCAGAATTCAGGTCATCTATGTCTTCCTCGAAGGAAATGAGAAGATGGTGACGAGGACAGAAAAAAAGGGACAGAGCCTGGAAGTATGCTAGTGAGGATCTCCCTCCTATTCCACTGTGTAGAGCACTTGAATAGACCACCTGAAATGGGCCTACTGATAGGCAAGGTTCCTGGTCAGTCTCTCCTAGAGGCAGAGAACCTAAGCAAACACACGGAGGGAACTAGGTTTTTCTCTACCCTATACAGAAATCAGAAGCTGAAGCCAATACAGGTAACTACCGTTCAAGTAACCCATAGAGACTCACTCTTCATCACTCAATTCTCAGATATATTCAGAGCCACATAAAACTGAGGAAGCCCAATCAGAGTACCAGCTTTATCAAAACAATGAAACTTTAATCATCTAATACAACCTGGTCATACTAAAATGGAGAAGTGCTCAATAACTTTAAGAACTATCAATGTTTAATGGGAAACAAACTGTGAAATGGCCTCAAAAGAAACACTTTTAAATACAGGATCTTGTTACCTGCTTAAGCCCTTCTCTAGAAGGGACAGATGTTTTCACAATATCATCAATAGCCCACCACTGATCAGCAAGGTAAAGTGCCACAGCTAAAAATAGAATAAATGATTATTAACATTTAAGTCTTATAGCATACAATATTACTATTTAATAAGGTTTATACAGATAAATATATCTACACTTTATAATACAAGGTGGCCCCATTTATTAAGCAAAAAAAAAAAAAAAAAAAAAAAAAAAAAAAAAAAAGGTACCTGTGAGTGAGTCCTCAGGTGCGAAGAGAGCAAGAATTTTCTCAGTCTGATCTCCACCATAAAGAGGTACAAAGCCTACATTGGACAGGCTAATAGGAATCTGAAATGACAAGTGAGTAAAGATTAGTGAAAAGTCTATTAAGAAAATATAGGACAAAAACAACATGCTTCTACCAAAAATATTAAACTTTTCCTACATTAATGCTAATTATGTAATTTCATAGAAGGTATTTCTCGTGTCAAAAAATTATATCAGAGCGTCCGACTTCAGCCAGGTCATGATCTCGCGGTCCGGGAGTTCGAGCCCCGCGTCAGGCTCTGGGCTGATGGCTCAGAGCCTGGAGCCTGTTTCCGATTCTGTGTCTCCCTCTCTCTCTGCCCCTCCCCCGTTCATGCTCTGTCTCTCTCTGTCCCAAAAATAAATAAAAAACGTTGAAAAAAAATTAAAAAAAAATTATATCAGACTTCCCTTTTGGAAGCATTTTATTATCTTCGGGGACAAAAAACTGAAGTTTATTTCAATAAATATTATTATTGTACATTAGCCACAGATACGAATAAAAACAAAGGCATGATATGGTACATATAAACTCATTAAAAAAAAGACACTAGTTTATTATCTGTTACACAATTTCACGGGGGAAAAAAACTCCATTTTTAAAAACTTTTTTTTTAACGTTTATTTATTTTTGAGACAGAGAGAGAGACAGAGCATGAACGGGGAAGGGGCAGAGAGAGAGGGAGACACAGAATCGGAAGCAGGCTCCAGGCTCTGAGCCATCAGCCCAGAGCCCAACGCGGGGCTCAAACTCATGGACCACAAGATCGTGACCTGAGCTGAAGTCGGACGCTTAACCGACTGAGCCACCCAGGCGCCCCAAAAAACTCCATTTTATAGTAAAAGACATCAGACAAGTAAATCGGTTTTTCCAGTGAGATACATGATACGCTAAGATTTGCCCACCTTCATTAATCTGACCATAATTCCCCACTTACAGATGATACTACAATTCAGATAATTATAAAATACTGGTGCTTTACAAGAAGAGACTTTAAAGAATCCCTTAAACATCACTTACTAGAAGAAAACTACAAGGCCTATAAAGGTTAGAGAATCTGCCTACCATCTAGTTCACAGTGAAATTCTAACAATTCCAAGTCTAATTATCTTTCTTTCACAATATATCATGCTTACTAATTAGAAAGCTTGATTCTAGTACTTTAGGAAAAGGAAGATCTGTGGTACAAAAATGTGCAATTTAGTGTTCTGATTTTTCTTTCTTAAAAACCTTCTAAAATCACAAATTCTCAATCTAAATTTAGTCAGCTCAAATCCCGTAACCAGTCTCAGCAAACTGTTACACAACTTACATATAATTTTAAAGGCATAATATAAATATTAAGCAATAACCTGTAGAGTGTGTTTTTTTAAAACTTGATCATACTGCTATACTAACAAATCAATATTTATTCACTTTACTCAATAGCCTTTTGATAAAAATTTCAAAAGTGAGTAGTTAACATTTGAAAAAGTAAGCAGATACGATTTCACATATAAACTCAACTGAAAAGACTGATAACAATCACCTTAGCACACCTTACCGTGATATTGAGAAGAGAAAAACGTTCAGGGTTTTCAGGGTCGCCACACCTTAGATCTGACATGTAATCTTCAGCAGAATTTTCCAATTCTTCATGACTGCAATTATCCAGCATATCCACAGGGAATGCCATCCTCTTCAACAAACAACATGGAACAAATGTTTCAGAACACGAAATGTTACCTTTCTTTACTCATAGAAAAAAAAATTTTATTGTAACACCACACTTCAAGGAAACTTCATTTTCACTACGCCAAGACAGACAACAATTTGAGCCCACTGATTGAAAATGTATATCAAACAATAAAACTTTTAAACGTTCATTTGTAGTAAAGCAAGCAATGAAATAGAAGTTAATCGGGGCACCTGGGTGGCTGAGTCGGTTGAGCGTCTGACTTAGGCTCAGGTCATGAACTTGCAGTTCATGAGTTCAAGCCCCATGTCTGGCTCTGTGCTGACAGCTCAGAGCCTGGAGCCTGTTTCGGATTCTGTGTCTCCCTCTCTCCCTGCCCCACCCCCACTCATACTCTGTCCCTCAAAAATAAATAAACATTAAAAAAAATTTAACATGGGGCGCCTGGGTGGCTCAGTCGGTTGAGCATCCAACTTTGGCTCAGGTCATGATCTCACAGTCTGTGAGTTCGAGCCCGCATCAGGCTCTGTGCTGACAGCTCAGAGCCTGGAGCCTACTTTGGTTTCTGTGTCTCCCTCTCTCTCTCTCTGCCCCTCCCCCGTTCATGCTGTCTCTCTCTCTCTGTCAAAAATAAGTAAATATTAAAAAAAAATTTTTAATACAAATAGAAATTAATGAATAATTCCTTAAAATGATAAAAATATATTTATACAGGCATAGGATATACATATTTACATATAAACATACATGCATATATCATCCTATACCTGCCAACATTTAAGCCACTGTAAAAGGACAAACACATAGGAACTTTTGGGAATAACAAAACTGTTCTACAATTGGATTATACTAATGGTACAACCCTACAAATGTATTTTAAAAATCACTGAATTGTACAGTTGCAGTAGGTAAACGTTACAGCATGTAAATTACATCTCTCATATATATAGCTATTAAAAAAAGAAACCAACACTTTAGTGGGGAAACACTAAAGCCAAGAAAAATAAGGACACTACTACTATATAAAATTATATAGGTATCTGTCAATGCAATTAGATGAGAGAAAGCAATTAAGGCATAACAATTCGGGATGGGTGTGAGGGTTGCAGCAGAAGATTATTGCTACCTCAATTTGCAAATAATTTATTTAATTGAAAAATCCCACAGAATTAATGGAAAAATTATTCCAAATAATACGAAATTATAGTCAAATAGCAAGATATAAAATTAAACATATAAATCAAGCCTTCATATTTACAATAACCACTGGTAAAAAAAAAATAATGAATGGAAAAAAATGAGTAAAAATAGAAAATAAGATCCCATTTAAACACCAAAAATTAAAATAGGCTTAAATTTAACAACAATAAACAACAGGAAACCTATTTAAGTCTAAAACATTACTATAAGAAACAAAGTGAACAAACAGGAAACACAAACCATATACTTAGAAAGGATGCTTCACCACCAAAAAGGTATTAGTCTTCCCTAAGATAATCTATTAATTTAATGGAATCCTAATGAAAATACCTTTAGGGTTTTATTGTTTCCTGAGGGAAAACAAGTTATAAAGTTAATTAGAAGGAATAAATAAGCAAGAGTAGCTAGAAAAATCCTGAAAAGGCAGAGCAATGATTGGAGAAAAGTATGAACCCTGTCAGATACTAAAACACATAGTTATCAACAATAACCAAACTACAGAGAGAGCCCAAATGTCCACTGACTGATAAAGAAGATGTGGGGTGGGTGGGCAGGTGGCACGCCCGCATAGAATGGCCTATTACTCAGCCATCAAAAAGAATGAAATCTTGCCATTTGCAATGACATAGATGGAGCTAGAACATACTATGTCAACCAAAATCGGACAGAGAAAGACAAACACCATATGATTTCACTCCTACGTGGAATTTAAGCAACAAAACAGATGAACATATGGGAAGGGAGTAAAAAAAAAAAAAAAAAGGGAAACAAACCACAAGAGATTCTTTAACAATAGAGAACAAACTGAGGGTTGACGGAGGGAGGTGGGTGGGAGATGGACTAGATGGATGATGGGTACGAAGGAGGGCACTTGTGATGAGCAGTAGGTGTTGTATGTAAGTGAGGAACCACTGAATTCTACTTCTGAAACCAATATTGCACTGTATATTAACTAACCAAAATTTAAATACAAATTTAAAAAAACAAAAAAGTTATCATAAAACTTTTTAGGGGCACCTGGCTGGCTCAGTCAGTAGAGCACACAACTCTTGATCTTGAAGTTGTAAGTTCAAGCCCCATACTGAGCACAGTCTACTTCTAAAAACTAAAATAAATAACAAAAAGGGGTGTCACCTAGCTGGCGCAGTAGATGGAGCATGTGACTCTTGATCTCAAGGTTGTAAGTTTGAGCTCCAACTTGGCTGTAGAGATTACTTAAAAATAAAATCTAGGGGCAACAGGGGGGCTCAGTCAATTAGGCGTCTTTTTTTTTTTTTA